GAGAATAAATGACAATAAACAAAACTGTGATGCTGTCTTTCTTCTACTTTAAACCATACATCTGTACAGATCAGCCGTCTGGAACTTTAAACCTTTGTACTCTCCAATTGGGTAGGCACCTCATACAGCTGTGGGATGGCCTCATAAACACTTCCTTCTTCTTCAGGCTCCTCTACACGTTGATTAATCATGATATTAGTAGTGAAACCAGTAGTGATCTTGTTCATGCACAGTTTAACACACATTATGCAACATTGAAATAATATGAAACCAAAAACAAAAAGCAAAAGAACTGCAACAATGCCTTCAACTATTTCTTGTCCCCAGTCGTTGAAAAGTGTTCTTAACCATGAAAAAGGACCTGAGGACAATGGTTCTGGTTTAGCCTTCCAAGCCAACTGCCATATTGCTTCTTGCTGTTTTTCAACTGAGACTGAATTATCTGGGATATAAGTGCAACACTCTGGGCCAGTAATTTTACAAACGCCTCCCTGCGCTGCTAGCATCTGATCCATAGCCATTCTATTTTGCAAGGTCATTTTAGTTGTTTCTCCTAATTGCTGCTGCATAAGGGAAATACTTGTGGTGGTTCTATTTGCTAATTCATAGGTAATGTTAGACAAGTCTCTGATTTGATCTAATGCCTGCATCACTCCATAACTTGGTAACAATGCCCCAAAGAACCTAGAAACGCTGGTTTGATGATGTGTAAAATATGGGTCATTACTGTGGTCCCAAGCATATTTAGCCTCTACATCTCTTTTAGCTCTTTTAGCTCCCACGGCTGTCAGATGCTGTTCAAATCTTTCTATGCTGGGAAGATATTTAGTAACTCTCATCGCTGGTGTAATATAAAACAAAGAACATTTACCTCTCCATTGTCTTAGTGGAGGAAGATAACTAAATCCTATGCTGCCGCATGACCATCTCATATTCTTTGGCACTTTAACAGAGGTTTTAGTTAAAATACTTTGCAACCATGTCTGCCTATTCTGATTATTGGCACAACTCTTTTCTTCAAAATAATCCTGTGTGGGTGGTGGGCATTCCAAATTACCTAAAAATGGGCTGGTATCATCGCCTGTTCCCTCTACGCACCACATCGCCTGTCCTACTACTCTAAAGAATGCGGTAATCCTGGGAGGACTGGGGCATGTCACAGACTTATTCACTTGCTGACATCCTAGATCTGACCACTCTGGTTCCTGCACTAAGGTCATATTTTGGCACTCTGAGTTGGTAGCAGTATTCATTAGTTTACATAAATCACATGCAGTTATCGGAGCTCCCATAAGAGGGCATCCTTCTATTGAATTAGTTGATAAGAGGGAGCAAACATAACATTCTTTATGCTGTTGGCTTTTCTGACTATAAGCTACCTTAGCTGCCATGGAAACAAATGAATTTGGGTCATTTTGGTATCTTTGCTCTGTTTGCCATATGGTAATATCTACTGCCCGTCTTTCCTTTTTAAACGTTTGCTGTGTCTTACTACCCTGGGTGCATTTTAGATCACAATTTGAATGTGGCTTCAAAGTAACTTTATGTCCTGTTCTAACCTTGATTATAGTGATATTCAGAGTCTTACTTAAGGATTTACTAGCTGGGGTTGATCTTGGGGTTAGATAAGGGTCTACTGTT